ATTAAAAAGGGGGGGGGGTAGGGAGCCTGGGTGGTTCAGTTGATTAAGCGTCTGACTTCAGCTCAGGTCATGATGTCACAGTTGGTGAGTTCGAGCCCCGTGTCGGGCTCTGTGCTGACAGCTCGGAGCCTGCAGCCTGCTTCAGATTCTGTGTCTCCCTCCCTCATGCCCCTCCCCTGCTCGCACTGTCTCTCTCTCTCAAAAATAAACAAACACTAAAAAAAAAGTTTATTTATTTGTTTATTTTTAAATAATCCCTACCCCCAATGCGGGGCTCAAACTCATGACCCCAAGATCAAGAGTCATGCGTTCTTCCAACTGAGCCATACAGGTGCTCCCATTTTGGCCTTTCTTAATGCAGAGGAGAGGCAGTTGGGTAAGGAGGATAATCCAGGGATTGGGGCCCCAGCAGGTAAGTTGGATCCCAGCTCCAGAAAATAGGGTTACTGGCTCTGTGACTGTCAGCAATTTTCTCTTTCTTTGTCTCTGTCTCTCTCTCTCTCTCTTGTTTTTTAATGTTTATTTATTCTGAGAGAAAGAGACAGAGACAGACAGATAGAACATGAGCAGGGGAGGGGCAGAGAGAGAGGGAGACACAGAATCCGAAGCAGGCTCCAGGCTCTGAGCTGTCAGCACAGAGCCTGACGTGGGGCTCAAACTCACGAACCACGAGATCATGACCTGAGCTGAAGTCAGATGCTTAACCGACTAAGCCACCCAGGCTCCCGGTCAGCAATTTTCTTAAACTCTTTGATCCTAGTTGCCACATCTGTATGATCTAGAAAATAATAATTATGCCCTGTCATTGCTGTGAGGCTTAAATAAAATATATGTTCCTATCAAGCACATGACAGTTTCAATATAAACTTCCTTCCTCTCTCAGGGCACCTGGGTGACTCAGTTGGTTAAGTGTGTGACTTTGGCTCAGGTCATGGTCTCACAGTTCGTGGGTTTGAGCCCCACGTCGGGCTCTGTGCTTACAGCTCAGAGCCTGGAGCCTGCTTCGGATTCTGTGTCTCCCTCTTTCACTGCCCCTCTCCAGCTTGCGCTCTGTCTCTCTTTCAAAAATAAATAAAAATATTAAAAAAAACTCACACAACACTTCCTCTCTCTTCCTGTTATCTTTTCCTGTTTGGAAACCAGAGAGAGAGTCAGGTTCTTGGGGTCTGTTGACTCCTGAGAATCCATCTTAACGGGGTGAGAAGGTCACAGACCCAAGAGCTGGATGGCGTCCCACAGGCCATGGGGTCCGTGACTTGCAAATTGGTGGCCCTAAACTATGTCCAGCCCTTGGAATGCTTCGTTTGACTTACTCAGGGTTAGAACAACAGAAAATTTGTTGCCAACGTTAAAGTTAGGGGCTATTACAGAAATGATTGTTTTTTCCACCTTCCCGTGACATTTTGGTAGAGCCGGCAAGTCTGGGTTCTATATTCTGGTGCAACCTCTCCTATCAACTCAGCTGGAGCTGGGTGGTCTGTGGCTGCCCTCATTAGATGAGGCCGAACCACCTCCCTGCCCCCTGCAGACTTACCTCGGTCTTCAACCCTCCCTACTGTTTACAGCCAGCTTGCTTTCTCGCTTCTATTACCTAGCAGGCTGCTGTAGGTGTTTGCTTTTGTGATCCTTGCTTTCCAGCCATTCATTCAAAAAGTGTCCAACAGCCAGGGGCTGGGGCGTGGAGGGGAGTGCGGGGGAGGACAGGCAGTCAGTGTTAAAGGGTCCAGAGCTTCAGCTGGGGAAGATGAAAAAGTTCTGGAGAGGGATGTATACTAATAATATGAATGTACTTAGTAGTACGAAACTATAGGCTTCAACATGGTTCACATGGTACATTTAATGCTGTGTCTATTTTACCACAACACATTTAGCACCAAAAAATATCAATACGATTCAATATTTTTAAAAAATTTTTAATGTTTATTTATTTTTGAGAGAGACAGACAGAGCACGAGTGGGGGAGGGGCGGAGAGAGAGGGAGACACAGAATCCGAAGCAGGCTCCAGGCTCTGAGCTGTCAGCACAGAGCCTGATGTGGGGCTTGAACTTGTGAATAGTGAGATCATGGCCTCTGCTGGAGTTGGGTGCTTAACCGACTGAGTCACCCAGATGCTCCAATATGATTCAATATTTTTGACAAAGGATTCAACAAGTATTAGGGTCTATGGGGCCCAAGGCACTCTGCTGGGTGCTAAGTCAGACAGACTCACCACTCGAGCCTGCCAGACAGACTCTAAGCAGTAATTTCATAATGATTACGCTTGGACAGTGCTTGTAAGGAAGAGGAAGCACGGGGGACAGGGTGCTCTTACCTTATTAAGGGAAACGAGGGGTCATGTGCGGAGGATGACAAAGCAACAAGATCCAGACACGTGAATCCTGCTGCGGGGTGGTGTGCCCCCTCTCCTCCCCTACCCCTGAAGCACCTGCCTCCAGACCTCTTTGAGAAATCACCTTTGGCCTAAGTAGTCAATAGCCAGGGGCTGTTGACTTTATGTTGACTATTCTTTCACTTATAGCAGAGCCAGATGCTCCCTGATACACGCTTCCCAGGGAAGCCTGTCTTGACCTCCCAGTTGAAATAAAGCTCCCTGTGATAAGATCCCAGCACTCTGGGCTTCTCTTTGGTAGCACTTGTCCAATTGTGATGGCATTATTAATCGTTTAGTGTCTATGACACAAGCCAGAGGAGTGGCCATGTCTTGTCTGGCTTACTTATCATATCCCCAGCACCCACAGAGAGCCTTTTTTTTTTTTTTAATTTTTAATGTTTTATTTATTTCTGAGAGAAAGAGAGAGAGACAGTGTGAGCAGGAGAGGGTCAGAGAGAGAGGGAGACACAGAATCCTAAGCAGGTTCCAGGCTCTGAGCTAGCTGTCAACACAAAGCCCGATGCAGGGCTCGAACCCACGAACTGTGAGATCATGACCTGAGCCAAAGTCTGACGCTTAACCGACTGAGCCACCCAGGCGCCCCAACCCACAGAGTGCCTTGGGCCGGGAAGGCACCTAACACTGGCTGAATAGGGGTGCCTGGCTGCCTCAGTGGGTATGAGCATGTGACTCTTGATCCTGGGGTTGTGGGTTAGAGCCCCACATTGGGTGGAGAGATTACTTAACTTGTTGAATATGTGAATGAGTGGGCAGAACTGGATTAGATCAGGGGTTAGAAGCCTAAATGCCTATTAGGACCTCTGCCAGGTAACGTAAATGAGAAAAGCGGGCTGGCTTCAAACCAGCCTGCAGGAAGGTGACGAAGTCTGAGGAGGACACACACTGTCCCTGTAAGGACAGTCCTTAGAAGTTGCACCTAACACTTGCACTTACATCCATTAACCAAGATTGAGTCATTCAGCCACATCCAGAGGCAAGGGAGGTCGCGATTAAGTGTAATTTAAACCTGGGCAGCCGTGAGCTCAGCGACAAAGGGAGGGTTCTGTGACTAAGGAAGAAAGAGAAAACATTTGAGGGACAACTAAACGTCTATGGAGAGAAATAGTGAAGAGCTGAAGAATGAACACAGGTTTCCTAGATTAGCGGTTCTCAAAGTGTAGCCATGGGGTCCCTGAGACCCTTGCAGGGAGATTTTGAGGTCAAGCTACTTTCATAAAAATAATAGGAAATTTTTGGCTTTTGTCACTATGTTGATATTCCAATGATGTTGCAAAAGCAATCTGGGCTAGACCGCTGCCTTAGCACAAAACAAGGGAGCCAAGCCAAACCATTGTGTTCTTCACCACATTTGCAGCAAAAAAAAAAAAAAAAGAAAGAAAGAAAGAAAAGAATAAAAATACTAATGCCAGTTTCACTTGAGAATGTCTCTGATGAGCAGCGAATATTAATTTTATTGACTCTCAAAGCTTGAGTATACTGTGTTATAAAACGAGAGTAGCACAATGCTTTTCTGCTACAAATGAATCACAATGTTGTCTCAGGTTAGAAGCGCCTGCGTTAATTGTTGGAGTTGCAAGCTCAACTAGCCACTTTTTTTAGGGAAAGGGCATGGTCACCTGTGCGTATTTACACGCTCACTCAGGCTGCTGTGAGGAGGATGGCCTAAGAGGAAGACAGAATGGGGAGGCCAGGAGGCCAGTGAGGAGACAAGAGCTGCTGTCCAGGCACACAATGGTGATAGCACCGGGCACGCGATGGCAGTAGTGGGGCCGAGTGACTTGGAGAGGCTTCTGAGATAGTTCGAAGGTAACATCCACGGGAAATGGTAAATAAACACATGGGAGGGGGTGGATGAAGGAGTCGGAGATTACACCCAGATTGTCTGGCGCGAGTTGGTGGCAAAGCCCTGGCTGAGCGGGGGACTTGTGGGCGAAATATCGGTCTGGATGGTAGTCGGAAGCAGGTGATAAGTGCAGCTTGGGACGCGTTGGGTTTGCTCTGCGTGGTGAGCATCCAAGTGGAGATGTCCAATGGGCGGATGGATCTACACGTCCGGAGCTCAAGGGAGACCTGAGCAGAGGAGCATTCGAGGGATGGCCAGAGACAAAGGCCCAGAGGAAAAGGGTCTGGTCCATGGTCACTCTGGGAGTCACTCCTCGGTCTCAGGTTCCTCTCAGCCCAGGCCCTCTCTGTCACGCTCAACCACCTATAATCCCTCTGGTGTCTCCCCCTCCCCCTCCCGCTGAACAAATGCCCTCAGGGCCCTGGAGCAGGGAGCTGTTTGGAGCTTACCAGAAATACCCTCTGTGCCCGCCCTCCACTACCCTCCCCCTCCTTTCCCTGAAGCCCAAACTCCACTGCGTTATCATTGATGCAAGCTTTTTCTTGTTATGCAATGAGAAGTGCGGTGACACTGTGCTCCAACCTCTTCTCTTAACTTTTTCCCTTGACTTTGGCATTGTCACTGTGACATCTTCCCCAAGAGGCAGGGGGTGGGGACCCCAGCCCCACATGGTGACGTTGGGGGCTGGCCCAGGCCTGGGGTGTGGAGGAGCCTCACCACTGGGCTTCCTGTCTTTCCGTTTACATATACATACATTTCTGCAGAAGTAACAAGCGCTCTCGCTCTCGCTCTCACTCTCCGGGGTGGGCTCCTGTGGCAGAGCGCCCAGCCTTCACGTAGACATACCTGTGCGAGAAGCCGGAGGGGAAGAAAGACAGAGACCCGCAGGTAAGATGGACAGACTCAGGTCTGTGCCTTTCCACTGGTCTGGGAAGGGGAGGGGAACATGGCAGATGCGCTGGAATGTTCTGGACTCCCAGTCCTCTGGCCACAATGCTGGCCACCTTCTCTGTGTTTCACACGGGAACTGGGAGCTTCAAGAGGCCGGGGACCAACTTCTCTCTGCATCCCCACTGTGTGCAGCTCAAGGCCTCCGGGCAGAAGGCGCTCCTCAGAGGGGTGCTAAGCTGGATTGCAAGATCAGAGAAGACATGGAGACTTGAGGCCACACCGGGCTGAGAAAGGCTGTGGGAGGCAACAAGTCAAGAGGGTGCTGGAGGAGATGAAGATAGGAAAAGAGGAAACAGAGAGAAAAGAGGAAAGAAGGGGTGGGAAAAGAATAGAAGGAGTAAATACATGCTAAGGAGGAAGGATGCCTATTGAAAAAAATGGAAATGAAAAGAGGCAACAAAGAAAAAGCAAGAAAATGAGTAAAGAGAAGTAGAATCTGGTCTAGAGGCAATTCTCCCAAAATCAATTTTCCCAGAGATGCAGTTTCCCAAAATTCACACCAGTAGCCTTGGCAGCATTTCATACGCCTTGTGATTGGGGTAGCCTCCTTTAAGTATCTTTTCTGTCTGTATGTCTTTCTCCATTTTTGTCTACTTTGGGGCATTTTTAGGACTTTTGAACACTATGTCCCTTTTCATGAGCTTTTTTTAAAGGATTAACAAAATTCTCAAAAAGAGTTGAAACTGAGCTCTTAGGTACGCAGTACTCTAAAAGTGACAGATACACATTTTTCGCTAAGCACGTCATGAGAAAAACTCGTTCTAAGAAATTAGTTTTAGATGTCTCTGTTGCCTAGAAAAGGAGGCTATGGGGTTTAGAAAAGGATCTGTAGGTCCTGGGCTTGGTAGTGTGTGTGTATGGGGGAGGGGGCTCCAGGAGGTGGTGGTACCCCTCAGATGGGTACAACTCCCACGCCCCACCTGCACCCTCTCTGTCCTTTTCCCTCTCCTGAGACCTCTGTGGCCTTGTGCCACTGTCCCCCAAGTGTCCTCTACTTTCTCTTCTAGACTTGTTCTGGGAGAGGGACCTGCTCGGCCAGATTCCTCACAACAGAAAGGCCTCACTATTGCGAATTCACAAGATTTCGCTGTGGGTGGGACAGCTCTTCCTGAACGTCCCGTTCTCGTGGGGCAAAAGTTTAGGGGCGCAAGGCTAAGAGTAGAACCTGACGGGGGAGATTGCTCCGTTTCTTATTTTGACAAAACCATTTCTGGTGCTGTGTTAGATTCTGTCGGCTCATACAAAATGGCCGCCCTCTCAACCGCAGATGAAAGTGTTCCCAGAGGACCGGGTCAGAGAGGACTCCTGACATGATTTCCCTCTTTCACTTTGTGGGGGGCACTTATATAGAAGAGGTCTACCTCGGAATAGGAGCATCACCGAACGGTTCTAGGCAGAAGCTTTGCAGCGTCTTAGGCCCCGATCCTGGCCATCGTGGTAAGGTGGCAATGAGGAGGGTTCAGTAGACCGAGAGCCTTGCGCATTTTGGACACTCAATGTCCAAATGAATTAACTCAATGTCCAAATGAATGAATTAACTCTGAAGAGGGTGGGTGCTGGGAGGGGGCAGACGGGGGCCTGGGTTTGTAGGGCTCTAAGGGTGAGCTCTGTTCCACACATTTTGGGGGATATGGGAGGAAGAGAGAGGGCAGGCTCCCCCCACGTGGGCGTCTGAGGCAAAGGAGAGGATGGCAGAGGTTGCAGCCATTCAACCACAAGGGTCCCTGAGAGGGTCATGGCCTCTAGGAAGTTTATATGAAGCCAGTGAGCAGAAGAGAGGTGTATGTGGTGGTGGTGGGGGGGCATGGTGGTGGGGGGCACATCCCGCGGCGGTGGGGCTTGAGGGGCTGCCTGGGGGCTCTGGGGGGAAGATGAAAGTGTCTGTGGAATCATAGACTGTTGCTGCGGTGGGGCTGTGCCCTCTTCCTCTCCCCAGTCTCGCTCCTCATCCCATCTGGGGGGCCAGGGCCGGGGCAACAGGAACCTCAAGGGCTCTGAGAGTTTGTGAGTGTGTGTTGCCATTTTGGTCTCATGGTTCTCTTGGTCTCTTTTGATCTTTTTTGGGTCTACTGCTCTGGGCATGTGTCTTGCCTTCCAGAATGTCTTCATCTCTTTCCCTCCGACTCGGCCTGGTTTGTAGAGCCCTGGGCTTGGTGTGGGAGGGGGGATCGTGTGAAGTGTAGCAGCCGCTTTAATGAGCTGCTCTGGGTCTCTCCCTACTGCCCTCTTTCCCTCTCATCCTCAGTCACCCTCCCTTGGGGCCTCTGTGTGTGTCTTGGAATCTGTCCTTGGTCCACCCTGCAGCCATCGCCCTCCCTCCACCTTCGGCTCCAGGCTGTGCTCTGCAGGCTCCCTTCACATCAAAGCTTGTTGAAAGCTGCTTTCCTGCCCGAGGTCTGGATGCCTGTTTACAGGCAAGAAGGGGCTAGAGCTTAGTGGCAGCTGGAGGCGGAGATGAAAAAGGAGGAGAGGGAAGGGGCGCTCTGGGCAAGACCCGCAGAGCCAGAACTGGTTCCTGGTATATGAGGCCGAGAGGAAGAGAGAGACAGATGCGGGTAGTTGAAGACAGGAGGCATCCGTGTGGACAGGCACAGAGACAGAAATGCACAGATGTGAGCAGAGAAATGAGGAGAGAGAGAGAGAAAGAGGGGGAGGGAGGGAGAGATGCCAGGGCCTGGGGGACGAGCAAGCCCTCCCAGCCTCTCTCAAGTGGCTCTGGTGTACAGGATGCTACTGTACTGGGGCAGAGCACCTCTGGGGGGGATGAGGATGTGGGAATCAAAAGCCAGCTCTCTGGGGTGGCAGCGGAAGCCCAAGTCACCAGAGCGAGCAGCAGCTGGAAACCCAAAGCCTCCTCCACCGAGCTGAACCCTGGTTGAGTTGGCACAGCATGGGAGGCAGGGGTGGCCCTCTGCTCAGACCCTAGGATCGTGGGGAAGGAGACATGACCGCCATATGGGGAAGGGTCAAGAATATCCCTAGCCTTCCCTAGGCATCTATGCTGAATTTACACCCCAGGGGGCGGAAATCCCAGACACTCCTTTACTCTCTGCTCACCGAGGACAGTGACAGTGAGTCGGGGGTTAGGGGACAGCGGGAACTGATCTCAAATATACTGTGCTCTTCCGCAGCCTTCCCTTAGCACCTCTGCGCCCCATGCTCACTTGTAAACAACTACGCCCATGACCAGCCTCTTTCCTCCTTTTCTGGAAACCTTCTTGATCTCTTCACTTCCTATTTCTCTGGCTAAAAAAAAAAATTCGATAGGGGTGCCAGTCTGGCTCAGTCAGAATAGCATGCAAGTCTCGATCTCCGGGTCACAGGTTTAAGCTCCACGTTGGGTGTAGAGGTTACTAAAAAAAGAAACAACCTTAAGAAAAAATTCTATCAAGCCCCTACCTTGTGTTACTGGGGCATTCCTCTTTCAGGCAGATGGAGTGACTGGAGAAGCCTCTTTTATTTATTTTCCTATGTTCTCCCAAACCTCATTAGGAGGCCCACGACCCCAGTGCCCATCTGAATACCGCATCCCTCTCATGGGTCAGTGCCCAACAGGAAACAGAATCTGCCTCAGGTGGCTTAAAGACTGCAGGAAGGGGGTTATTCGTAGAGGTGTGAAGAGGGAACCAGCCAGCACCGGGAGGCACACAGGCAGGGGCCTGAAGGGGCAGGAGTGAAATGGTGTTTCTGGAACCCAGTGAGGGTTTGGGCTGTGGATGAAGGGCCACCTGACACAGGAGCTATGGCTGGGCATGGGGAGAGGAAGGGGGCGGGAGGGAGAAAAGCCATTGCCAAAAAGTCTGCCGCAGTAGGAAGAGAGTAGGAAAAATACCCCAACCTCTTTCCTTGACCCTCCCATCTCCTGTGGGTGCTTCCCATTGGCCAGCCCCAACTAGTAGCTGGAAGACAAGGGAGCCTGGGAGGTACAGTCTGCCGAGGTTGGCCTCCTTGCAGACAGTGGGGCAGAGAGGATGGAGAGTGCTCAGGGGTGGGTGGCGCACAAGAATAGGCAGCATGGGTTGGATGACTTGGCTTCATCCAGGCCAGGGTTAGGTGTGGACACGTACTTAATGACTCACTTTGTTTTATTTTATTAAAAAAATTTTTTTAATGTTTTTTTAATTTATTTCTGAGAGAGAGACACACAGCGTGAGCAGGGGAGGGTCAGAGAGAGAGGGAGACACAGAATCCGAAACAGGCTCCAGGCTCCGAGATGGCTGTCAGCACAGAGCCCGACGCGGGGCTTGAACCCACAAACTGTGAGATCATGACCTGAGCCAAAGTCAGTCGCTTAACCGACTGAGCCACCCAGGTGCCCTTTAAATGACTCACTTCAGTAACAACATGTTGAGTACAGAAAGAAGAAATCAGTGATTTTCCCTCCTCCAATTCAATTCGGTGTTAACCAAACACATCCTGAGTCCCACCCCAAGTCCCAGAGCTGGCTGGACTATCATCTGTAAGAGATCAAGCTGTGAGGGAGGGGGAGATGGGAACCCAAATCAGGGTACCATGAGGTAGAAGGTGGAACATGCCCTCGAGGGTGTCACCTGGGTGCTGTTTCAGACTGGGCAGCCAGCTACAGAGCTCAGACAGCAAAGGCTGGACAGAGCGGGGAGGGAGAGAGTGGGTTGGGGCGGGGGTACTGGGTGAGGGGGAAAGAAAGACACGTCTGGATGCAGGATCTCATCTCACCAGCTCTGGACCAGGTTCATGCTGGCAGTGCTCCCAAGGCAGCCACTTTTCTGAGGCCCGGGGAGCTCAAAGATATGAGAGCCAGGTTCTTGCCCTGCCTTCCAGACGTTATCTTCCTCCAGTCTCCACTCCCTCCATGTCATCTGGTCCCCTTCCTAAAGCTCTACAGAGACCATGTCACATCTCTGCTCAAAACTCAGCAGTTCCTCCCCGTCACCTCCAGAACCAAGCCCTGACCTTGCAGCCTACCTGTCCAGACTCCTGATCAGGCCTCCAGGCCATTCCCACATCCCACCACTTCCCTCCCTGAGCCCCCTCTACACTCCGGCCCAGAGCACAGCCCTGCAGCCTGACACTGCCTGACACCCCCCGCCACCCCCGCCCTCCGGCGGTGGGGTGCCCCTCCCCTTTCCCTTCCATCTAACTCACAGTTTGCAGACTTGAGCCCCTGCCAGTGACTGAGGGGTTTGTGAAAACACAGCCAGCCAGACCCACCCCCAGTTTCTGATTCAGCACCCCCAGGTCTGGGGTGGGGCCTGAGAATTTGCGTTTCTAACAAGCTGGTAGGTGAGGCTGGCAGTGGCTTGCTCGGGACCACACTGAGAGTCATCGGTCTAACCTACTGCTGCCTATGGTGCAGGGGCCATTCCGAGCCTGTCTAGGACCCTCCCGGCCCCCCTCCCCCTGGTCTTAACCATCTCAGGTGCTCACAGACACCAACTCTGAAATAGCACTTTTCTGCTTTTCCTCAGAGTCCTTACAGGGCTGGTCTGCTAGTGAGCAGAAAGTTACCCTCTGCTCCGTCTCTCCCTCATCCCACACACCACACCGGCTCCAAGTCCCGGGAATTTTCCCTCCAATGTGCTCCTCAAGGCAGTCTTTTTTTTCCACGTTTCCATAGTTCTGAGTTGTCTGAGTTCAGGCCTGTCTTCTCTCACCAGGATTGTCGCAATTCTGCCTCTTGTGCTCAGCCTCCTCCGCTTGCCTTTCTCAGAGATGCTGAAGTGGTCCATTCTGCAAACCGAATCATCCTTTTTTTTTTTTTATAACAACTTAAAAAAAATATTTTTAATGTTTATTTATTTTTTGAGAGAGAGGTGAGATGGAGCGCGAGTGGGGGAGGGACAGAGAGAGAGGGAGACACCGATTCTGAAGCAGGCTCCGGGCTCTGAGCTGTCAGCACAGAGCCTGATGTGGGGCTGTGAGATCATGACCTGAGCCTAAGCTACCCACTTAACCGACTGAGCCACCAAGGTGCCCCAACAACTTTTTTTTTTTTAAATGTTTATTTATTTTTGAGAGACAGTGAGACTGAGCATGAGCAGGGAAGGGGCAGAGAGAGAGGGAGACGCGGAATCTGAAGCAGGCTCCGGGCTGTCAGCACAGAGCCCATTGCGGGGCTGGAAGCAATGAGATCATGCCCTGAGTGGAAGTTGGACGCTTAACCAACTGAGACACCCAGGCACATCCCAAATCGTGTCCTTCTTGACCTAAAATCCTTTACTGGCTCCCTAGTGCCCAGGATCATGGCCTAGCATCCCAGCATAGCATTCAAGGACCTTCATGACCTGGACTGGTCCCCTTTGTCTCCCCCCCATCAATTTGCCACCTTCTCTGTGAATCCTTTCTTGATTCCACTTGGCAGAGAACCCATTCCCCACCTGTGCACAGCATTGTGTGGTGTGTACTGGGGGATGTCTGTTTGGAAGTATGAAGTTTAGGGGCACCTGGGTGGCTCAGTCGGTTAAGCATCCGACTTCAGCTCAGGTCATGATCTCACGATTTGTGAGTTTGAGCCCCACATTGGGCTCTGTGCTGACAGCTCAGAGCCGGGAGCCTGCCTTGGATTCTGTGTCTCCCTCTCTCTCGGCTCCTCCCCTGCTCACACTCTATCTCTTTCTCTCAAAAATTAAAAAAAAAAAAAATTAAAAAACTAACAAAAAAGAAGTATGAGGTCCCTGGCTTGGTTGTATGGGTGAGATTGCATAATGCCCTGTGTGCCTCAGGCCCAATATATGCCTGCTGACGAATGATTATTATTTCCCTCAGGCCCTGACCTCTGTGCCAGGAAGGCCCAGGTCCTTGCCTGCCTCAGCAAGGCCACAATGAATCGAGGAGCCGCTTTTAGACACCTGCTCCTGGTGCTGCAGTTGGGTGAGTGCTGAGACTTGGGGTCCCAGCGGGAGGAGGGGCTGATTGGGAAATGCAAAGGTGAGGGGATAGGGTGGAGGCGGGGCAGCAACAGCCTTGAGGCCTGACCTCCTCCTTTTCCACCTAGTGTTGCTCTCAGCGGTCACTCAGGGAAAAGAAGTGGTGCTGGGGAAGGCAGGGGGCACAGTGGACCTGCCCTGCCAAGCATCTCAGAATAAGATCATGGCCTTTAACTGGAAACGTTCTTCCGAGAAGATCAAGATTCTGGCACTTCACATGAACTCCTTTGTCAGCTCCTTGGTTACAGGTAGAATGGCCCAGCTCCTCATCGGGGGAGGAAAACTCCATGACTTGAACATCCTTGGTGTCAGAGTCTGGCTTCTAGTAAGCTCTGATCCCAGGGGGTTGGGGTTGACAGAGACTCAGGTCCACTCTCTCAGTCCAGAGTTTCCCTATGCGCACTTGCAGGTGGCTGAGGGAATGGGTTTTGGTGCTCTATTATCAGTTCAGAATTTTAATATGCATGGACTCATTTTAATGGATATTAGAAAACTATCATATAAAACCTATAATTTCATGAATTCTATTGCTACCGACCCATAATGATATGTTGTTTACTTCCATTAAAAGCAACAGAAAGATTTTTTTCGAACTTGTAAAGTAAAAAGAATTAAGATCTCAATACTTCTTAAGAAGTATCTTGCAATTTTTTTGCAATAGAGGAGTTGTATTCTCACGTTAAGGTTTGCTCTCATGCGCTTCTTTAAATAATTCTTCTTTCTTGTATGTTTGGCCTCTAAATTCAACAATTTTGAAGAGAAGCATCATATGAGAAAAACCTCACCAGCATGAAATGTATTTTTGTAAATATATATATACGTGTGTGTGTGTGTGTGTGTGTGTGTGTGTATATACATACATATATATATATATATATATTATTTATTTATTTTGGCAGGATAGAGAAAGAGAGAGGGAGTGAGAATCTCAAGCAGGCTCCATGTTGTCAGCAGAGACTCCGATGCATGGCTCGAACCCAGGAACCATGAGATAGATCATGACCTGAGCCAAAACCAAGAGTTAGATGCTTAACTAACTGAGCCATCCAGGCACTCCTGTAAATATATTTTTTAAAAGTTTATTAGATTTAACATTGTTTGCATTTCATTGCTTATTTTTATGATATTTAGGTTTTTTTAATAAAGATTTTATTTTTAAGTAATCTCTACACCCAACCTGGGGCTTGAACTCAACCCCAAGTCGTGAGTTGCATGATCCACTGACTGAGTCAGCTAGGTGCCCCTCTTTGCTTATTTTTAACCACTTACTAATTATGAAAATTTTAACATATATAAAAGTAGAATAATTATATAATGAACCCCCACATATCATACTCAGCTTCAACAATTATCAATTCATGGTCAGTTAATGGTTACCTTTCATATGCTCCCCCAATGCCCCACCACATTATTTTATAGCAAATACCAAACACGGTATCATTTAATCTGTAAATACTTCAGTATGTATCTCTAGAATGTAATGACTCTTTTTTTACATTTAAAAAAAAATGTTTCTTTATTTTTGAGAGAGAAAGATAAAGTGCAGGTGGGGGGGGTAGAGAGGCAGAGAGAGAGGGAAACACAGAATTTGAAGCAGGCTCCAGGCTCTGAGCTATCAACACAGAGCCTGATGTGAGGCTTGAACTCATGAGCCATGAGATCATGACCTAAGCCAAAGTTGGATACTTAATCAACTGAGCCACCCAGGCACCCCGTAAAATGTGATGATCCTTTAAAAACATATCCACAAAACCCCCAGAAACAAATGAAAAAGCATAACCACAGTTTCATGATTACCCATTAAAAATTAAAAGTAATCCCTTACTGATGATAAATATCAAGTCTGTGATCAAATTCTCCCAATTGCCTCAAAATATTATTTTTACATTTGGTTTATTTGAAGCAGAATCCAGATGAAAAGGTATGCATGATATTTGATTAGTATGTCCCTCAAATCCCTTTGAATTTATGTATTCACTCCCTCATGTTTTTTTTTTTACCTCTTGCAACTCATTGGTTGAAGAAACTAGGCAATTGTCCTGTGGAGTATTGCATATTTGAATAGGAACTGGCTACATTCCCATGGTGTCATTTAACACCATGTTCCTCTGGCCCTTGGATCTTCTATAGATTGATGATTAAATCCAGAGACTCAGTCAAGTTCATAATTAACTTTTTGATAAGACCACCTCATAGGTAGTGTTTTATACTACCAATTTCATCACATCAGAAGCTATGTGATATAACATTCTCTTTCTGCTATTAAGATTAATTAATTGATAGGTTCAAGTGTTAGCTTTAAGTGATAATAATAATAATATTGTCTTTATTTTTTTTAAATAGTTGCCTTCTGTTTATGTCAAATGATATGGACTGTCTGTTTATTATAGTGATATAAATTTTTCTTTTAAAATAAATTTATGTAGGGGCTTCTGGGTGGTTCAGTTGGTTAAGCATCTGACTTCAGTTCAGGTCATGATCTCACAGTTCTTGGGTTCAAGACCCATGTTGGGCTCTGTGCTGACAGCTCAGAGCCTGGAGCCTGCTTCAGATTCTATGTCTCCCTTTCTCTCTGCCCCTCCCCTGCTCATGTTCTGTCTCTCTGTCTCTTTCAAAAATAAACAAACATTAAAAAACTAAAAATAAAATAATAAAATGAAATAAAACAAATTTATGTAGGGGTGGCTGGGTGGCTCAGTCAGTTAAGCATCTAACTTCAGGTCAAGTCACAACTTCATGGTTCATGAGTTCAAGCCCCATGTAGGGCTCTGTGCTGACAGCTCAGACTGGAGCCTGCTTTGGATTCTGTCTCTCTCTCTCTGCCCCTCCCGCACTCACACTCTGTCTCTCTCAAAAATAAACATTTTACAACTTTAATAAAAATAAATAAAATTAATTTATTTAATCTCAAAAAGCAAATGCATTTAAAGATGTTACATTAATAGGACAGTAGATTTGGACAAAATCATGTGTAAAATATGTGAATGACTGAAGTCTGGGAACTATGACTCGAGTCCAAGACTTAGATTTTACTAGTAAGGAAACTGAGACCCAGGGAGAAGTCCCTGCCCTGAGTTTGTGCCCCATGAGAGGCAGGACTAGGACTGGGGGTAGAGCTTTGGTCTTTCAGCTTTCAGGCCTAGCTCCCCTGTGGAAAGTTATCCTCAGTGCAATCAAACCTGAATTGGTTACAGTGCATAGAAAACCACCTTTGTTGGAAACGAATGTCTCCTCTTCTTGCCTCTCTGTCCAGTGGGAGGAAGTCCTCTGTTTTTGCCAAGGGGATTCTTGCTGGGCTCCTAGAGAGTTCAGACACCCATGTCCACATTTCATGTGTGGATATGAAGAAAAAGGGGGATATTGGGCTGGATCTTTATGGACCCGAAGCCATTCCCTAAAATTAACAAAACCCCCAATCCCTGATCCCTTTCTGATAAAGACACACCAAGCAGAAATCAGCAGGCTTAGCAGGTAAACTGCCCTTTGCCTGTCCACGTTGTCTCCCTCAAATAGCTGTTTAAAGAGGAGTCTATGATCAAACTAACCTGTGTCCTCCCCTGGCCTCTGAGATCCTGGTGCCCATTATGTAATTTTCATCCTTGGGCAGAGCTCAGAACAACTCCCACAAACTCAGCAAGTGATTTTCTTGCCCTAGAATTTTATTCTGCTAGGTTTCTTGAAATAAGCAGACTTTCAGCTGAGACTTTATTTTTATTAATTTCAAAGTAAAGTGATTTGAAAAAGTAATACAGGTACATGGTAAACATTTAAAACCATCCAAATGATATGCAATATGTTAAGAACAAAATTCAGCTGAGTACATTTGAAGATCTAATTGGCTTTATTCAATGATTCATAAATTGGGCAGCATCCCATCTAACAAACAGAAAAGGATCTCCAAAGAACTGTAGAAAGGAAAGGCTTTTAGAGGCAGAAAATGGGTTGGAAAAGGAAGATTGTTAGCAAAGAGTGGGTTGTTTCAGGCAAGATCACCTGCATAAGGGCATGGAGGAGGTCTATCAGGAAGATTTCCTCACTTGTGCAGACCAGGTAATTCCATATTGATTCATTAAAGGTTATGTTCCTGGGAGAAACTGAAATTGCAATTAGGTTAGGTATTAGGTCTTGGTTTGCTGATGTGGGAGTTAGCATAAGGGACCCCATTTTAAGCATATTGGCTCTTTTTTTTAAATAGTTTATTGTCAAGTTGGTTACCATATAACACCCAGTGCTCATCCCCACAAGTGCCCTTCTCCATGCCCATCACCCCCCTTCCCCTCCCCGCCACACCCATCAGTCCTCAGTTTGTTCTTGGCATTCAAGAGTCTCTCATGGTTTGCCTCCCTCCCTCTTCTCCCCTATTTCCCCCCTTCTCCCCCCCCACCACGGTCCTCTGTTAAGTTCCTCCTAATCCTCCTATACGTTCAAACATATGGTAGTTGTCCTTCACTGCCTGACTTATTTAGCTCAGCATAACACCCTCAAGGTCCATCCATGTTGCTACACATGGCCAGATTTCATTCTTTCTCATTGCCATGTAGTATTCCATGGTATAGATAAACCACATCTTCTTGATCCTTTATGTCCATTGATCCACACTTAGGTTCTTTCCATGTTTTGGCTATTGTTGAGAGTGCTGCTATGAACATTGGGGTACATGTGCCCCTAGGCATCAGCACTCCTGTATCCCTTGGGTAAATTCCTAGCAGTGCTACTGCTGGGTCCTAGGGGAGTTCTACTGTTAATTTTTTGAGGAAACTCCACAGTTTTCCAGAGGGGCTGCACCAGTTTACATTCCCACCAACAGTGTAGGAGGGTGCCCATTTCTCCACATCCTCGCCAGCATCTAGAGTCCTCTGATTTGCTCATTGTAGCCACTCTGACCAGTGTGAGGTGGTATCTCAGTGTGGTTTTGATTTGTATTTCCCTGATGAGAGATGCTG